CCGCATCTATTTGTTCTTGCAACCCTTCTGGTGTTTCGGATACCCCCACGAAATCATCTGCAAACATCAGTCCGGACACACTCTTTCCCTCTACTTGGACTCCCTGTCTTACTGCTTCAACCGCCCTTATCAAATCGTTGATGTAAATCTTAAAAAGAGTGGGTGACATCGTACAGCCCTGTGCGACTCCTTGGAGTATATCCACGTACTTCGAAATTTCCCCATCCAACATCACCGCACTTCTTGTGCATTCTGTCATCTTTTTCAACATCCTCCACATTTTCCCCCGGATGCCGATGTCCCACATCTTTTTCCACAATCCATTGCGCCATACGGTGTCGTAGGCTTTTTGTATATCGAGGAAGAAACAGTATGTCGTACGCCCGGCGTCTTTCCTACCTTGGATGATTTTACTCAACGTATATACATGGTCTACACAACTACGATCTGGTCTAAATCCAGCTTGTCCTTCGCTGATCTTTTGTTTCCCCTCCAACATGTCTCCCATTCTGTTGTCTATCATCTTGCCAAACAGTTTCCCCACTGTGCTCAACAGGGTTATCCCTCTATAATTCCCCGGGTCAGCTTTATCCCCCTTTTTGAACAGGTTCACGACTACTCCTTCTCTCCATCTCTTCGGCGCGTACTCGTGTTTCCATATCCAGTTGAATATCCGGACCAACATGTTAATCATCCCCTCCCCCCCCTGTTTCAAAAGCTCGTTCACAATTCCATCAGCCCCTGCCGCTTTTCTATTCTTGAGTTTCGCTACGCAGTCCTCTACCTCTTCTCGTGTGAACTCTCCCTGCAACCCGTCTACATCACTACGTTCCCTCTGAGATCTTTCAACGTTTTCCTCTGCCCACGAGTTGATTTCCTTCTCAAACTCCGAGTCGAAGTTGTCGCTGGTGGTGGGTGTCCCAAGTTTGCGGTAGTGCTCTACTAGTACTTCCCTCTTTCCTTTAGAACTGCTTACCATCTTACCCTCGGCAGATCTTAGTGTCGTTATTTCCGTGTCTCCCCCTCTTTTGTTGCCCACTATCCCTTGAATTCCTACCCACATTTGCTTCATCCCCCCCTCAAAATCTTCGTTAATCTTTTGGACTACTTCCTCCCACAACCCTTTCTTCTTCTTCACGACCAACTCCTTCACCCTCTTTCTACTTTCAACATACTCCTTCCATCCTGCATCTGTTTTCCCTGCCGCATATTTTGCGTGTGACTCTCTACGTACTCGAATTGCTTGCTTGATTTCTTCGTCCCACCACTTCACTGCTCTCTTACAAACTATCAACTTTCTACCTAGAACTCTGCTTGCTGTTGTGTTTACCAGCTCTTCCCACCCTTCTATGATTCTAGACCCGGCCTGGTCCCGGCCTTCGGCATCCTTCGGTGTACCCATTGCCTCCATCAACTCCGAGAGTTTCTTGTCGTTTATAGCCATTTCTTCTTGGAACTCTACCCTCGTTTCTTCTACTTCTAGCTTATCTATTCTCCATCTCTACATTTTCCTGCGTCGCCTACTCTGTATGACTCTCTTCTGTTGTAGGGCTGTCCACACCAACGCGTGGTCTGTAGTACCTACATCCGTTGTGCATACTCGTACTTCCGTCTCTTTCCCCCCATTCTCTACGACTATATAGTCAAGGATGGAGCGTTCTCCTTTTTTGAAACATCGCCTAGTCCATTCCGGTTCTGTCTTTCGTACTCTACCGTTCAACACCTTCATCTCGCTACTGTCAAGGAACCTCAGCATTTCTTCCCCGTTTTTGTTCGTGGCTCCCTCCCCGTATTGCCCTATGGTTCCGTGTGGGTTCGTGGTTCGCCCGATTCTTGAATTGAAGTCCCCAACTAGAACTACTTCTCCCTTTCTCTTGAAGTTTTGTACATCCGCTGCTACCTCCTCGAAACCTATCCTGATGTCTTTCACCATATTCTTCGACTCTGGTGGCATATATACATTTCCTACGAACAAGTCCTTTCTTCCCCGTTCCCCTGGTACCCTTATCCACATGCTTTCGTTGAATTTGGTGTCGCTGATCACCTCAATTATGTCGCACATGTGCTCCTTGACAAAGAATCCAACTCCACCCTCCCCTCTACTCTTGATTTTCTGTCCTCTCCTCATTTTACCTATCCATGTGTAGCTTCCCACTTCTTTTCCTATTTCTCCCCCGTCCTTCTCCCACGACTCTTGGACTCCGACTATGTCCAGGTCTTTTTCGGCCGCTTGCTCGGCAATTTCGAGTCTTTTACGCTCATCTGTGGCAAATCCGCCATACATTCCAAGGCCCTATTCTGATTTCCTTACTCCTACTTTCTGCTTTCCTGTGCCTTTCAGGATTCCTTTTGTCCCTCATTTGCCTTCCCTTCTGCCTTATCCTATCGCTGCCCCCCCCTTCTCCTACTTTGGCTTGCTTTCCCTTTTGACCCTTTCGGGCCTCCTGCCCCCCTTTGTTTTCAGCCAGCCTTGGGCTACGCCTTACTTCCTGGATCCTATTTGCTATGCACACCCTCCAACCTAGTCTCCTCACCCACGCCGACATCTTCTCTACTTCTAGTCTTTCCCATTCTGCGCTTACTCTCCTTCCAAACGTGATTCTAAAGTGGTTTCCTTCCCTTTCTACCCCCCCCCTTGCGAAGCAATATAATCCTACTTCTTCACATCCACTTTTGAACTCCAACCTTGTCATGTCGATATTGACCCCAAATATCAACACTACTAGTACTGCACTTTCCATTCTCTCCTTCTCCACCCTTTGTGCCTCGTCGTCTCCCTCCCTATCTCTTTCGAGACTATCTCGTTCTTTGTGTTTGAAGTGGGATGCTTTCAAATTACTGGGACTTCCCAATCCTAGTACTTGTTGAGGGTCTGGGGGGGGGGGGGTCGTCCAGGAGAAAAAAAACCTGCAGGTTAACACATGACACCTTACTCGATGAGCTGAGCGGCACGATTCCAGCCCGACCGATGTATCCTAAACTTTGGGGTCCCACCTTTGACCGCTAAAACATCCCAACTAACGTTCTTGTTGGAGTTTCGTGATGTTCTTGTCAAGAAACCCACAAAAACGACAACCTCTCAACATTTCATCAGACTCGCCGTTGTTTCTTGCTGCAGTCCCTGGAACTCTCGTTGAAACTCAAGCCTAACGTCCTTTTCGGCGAAGAGCTGGGCAGCGTTCTGTGTCGAAGCCTAAAGTACATTCATTAAGCGGAGAGTTGTGCAGGGCGTTCTGTGCCACTCTTCGACATGCTTCCTTCCGTTACCTGTCCCCTGGTCCGGACCCCGCCGGAAACGCCTCCCAGAAATACTGAACTCCCACCCCGTCCCCCTTGTCGAGGATAGGGTTGTTGGCGTAGATGATGTCGCCGCTTTTGTTGGTGTCCGGGTTGTACCCTCTGATGAATGCGCAGAAAAGCAAGGGGCGGGGAGTGTGTCAGGAAAACCTGTGTGAATAGGAGTGTCTCGACAGAACCGTTTCAGACACGCAAATGGGTTGTCCCAGAAATGAGTTGCTGACTCTGCGTTCACCTCTCGCACCCACCGGGGATCGTTGTGGCTGCTTGTGGGTTCCGTGTTCCTGGAAACCAGCAGGGTTGATCACTACTGGTACTAGTTGTTCATGTCGATATCGTTGGTGTGGTTGCTCTTGTTCCGTGTATAACCCGACCCTGCCCTGTTCTCTTCTCGGCACCCCTACCTCCGGCCCAAGACTATCCCGACAAACAAGGTATTCTTTCTCTACCCGGTCTTGACCGCATTTTGCCCAGAACACTTTGTACAGAGATATCGCGGAGCGATCGAAAAGAAAAAAAACAATTGTCATTTATCCAGAGCACCGCTGTGGCCCTCGGCCATGTCACATGCTTTTCATCCACACCGTTCCGACATATTTATCCCGCCGCACACGCCAAGCGCATGCCGATGCACCACAAACGCACGCGCGGTCCAACGCAAAGAACCTCTCGTTTTATCCAAAACATACACATCGATCGCCCCCCGCGATTGTCGAGGCCACTTCGCCCACCAGTGCGCCCGCCTACTAAACACCAATAGTACTCGGTGAGCGCGTCTCGACCCGTGCGGTAATGCCTCCCTAAGTTTCGACGAGAAAAAACAGTGCGCCCGTCCGCCTCATGCTGGCGTTGGACGTCGGCGTCAGCGGGACAGACGCGGCGTGGTCGCGCACTGCATGGCGGCGACCAAAACCCGCGCGCAACAAAAACGCCGGTCCTTCTCTCCGTATTTCCACGCTCCATCTGTCACGACCCCTCGCGCTGTTGAAGCCGATCCGATCGAGAATCGTCCCCACCCCGTGTCAAAAAGAACAGAGCAAAATCGCTAAGTACAAATGGTGTGCGTAACATTTCGACCCACGAAGGTCAGCCGTAAACAAAACTGTAACCGCCATCATAATCGTAACCAGAACCGGAACCGGAACCAGAACCGGAACCGGAACCGGAACCGGAACCGGAACCGGAACCGGAACCGGAACCGCCATCGCCAATGTCAACCAACCGAATCGGGACCGGAATCGGAACCGGAACCCTATTGAAGTCGTAGTCCTCGTACTACATAGCCTAACACAACTACTTCTTCGAAGTACGTAGGAGTGGACTCGTATCATGTTGGCACTCCTCACCTAGCGCACGAGCCGACGACGAGGCAGACCCCCTCGGGTTTCTTGCCCCATCGGATCTGCCGCACCATCGGCGAGGCGTTCCCCATGCAGTCGAGTACCAGCCGCGAGGTCACCTCCTTCGCAAACCCACCGCCGTTAGCGAGCACGATAGCAGGCACGTGCATGCATGGTTGTTGTTGTTGTTGTTGTTGTTGGCGTCTTCTCATTAACAAGGTGTCGGCTTAGTACTTTCTACCATCCGTACCGGTCCAACTGACGCGGACGCCTTGTCTTGGTGATAGGCCAATTAACAAAGAAAGGGGGGGAAAGGTAAGGAACTGTTCGAGAGACTCCGACGGGGAGGACGACGGTCGATTCGAGAGGAAACGCTGGGTGTTTTGACTAGGGAGCAGCGAGACACAGAAAACGGCGCCTCCATCGTCGACATTTCACACCCACCAACCAGAGTGAGCAGCTTCGGAGACGGCAAAACGCAACGCACAAGCCACCCTCAGAAATGCAGAGGCTGCGCAACATCTCCATCACCATTGGTTCAGACCTACTGGTAGTGCTTTCTCGACCAGTGAGAGAAACGCATACCCCCGCTACCAAAAGACGGAGAGAAAAGCGCCCGCTCTTGATTCAAAGTGAACGAGATGGATAGACTCAGATGAGCATCGACGATGCTGTCGCGTAACGTGGCCATCGCCAAAGGTTAGCCGTTAGTGGGTGCGGCGATTTAGGAGCGAGAGATGCCGACAGCATCAAGGCGACAACACCAGCGACAGCAAGAACAGCCAAAAAAACAACGGAAATCATCGACAGCGTACTTCCTCCGGAGGCGTTCACGTGCGTCTTGTTGATTTCGCCGTAATGTTCGTTTGTGTGGCATTGTTGGGCAATATGTCTTGCGATCCTCGCTGTCAAGCACTCTCCTCCGCAAATAAACCGTTTAGTCCCTCAACGACCGTAATGGTTACCGTTCACACCTCTCCAGTAGCAGCCCCAGACGCAGGAGGTTTACCCCCCGGTGGCGAAGACGGGGATGTTGAAAGAGCGACCCCATCTGGCCTTACGCTAACGCCGTCGATGGAAGTGAACTCCATGACGACCCCTCCCTTGGCCTCGAAACGCCGACGTGCGCGGTCCACCAAGAGAGACGGCCTGAGGGAACGTGAGGACTGGGTGGATGGCTAAATCTCGAACGGGTGGTCGGCTAAGGGCAAGATTAACAGCAGCAGCAGCAACCACCAACAAGAGCAACAACGACATCAGCGCTCACATCATCAATCGAGAATCACCTCCACCAGCGACAACGACAGCAGCAATCGCGATAGGAAAGGCATCAGCAACCGCAACCAATACCACGAAAACAACAACGACACCGTCGCCAAAGAAAACCAACAACAACGAGGAAGAGTGTTGACTCACTTCACCCCCGTGTTGAGTACGTCCGGACAGAACGTGTCCACGGCGTCAGGATCACCCTCCGCCCTCTTGAACCCCGCCCGCAAAGGGTTGAAGCGTATGCTCACGCATTCCTCTGCGTCCTGCACGAACGAGGGAGTGGTGAAGAGCGTTGTAGTGTCATTTGGGGTTCTTCCTGAGACATGCAGTCCCGTCTCCGAATATCTCGTTCGCTTTTTCTGGCACGCAAAATACTTCCGTAACGGCGGAACAGAAACTTCTGGCACACCCGTCGCAGGTTTGGTGCCGTTAGCCTTCAAATGCATACTTTTTCGGGGTACATGTATGTGTGCAGACATCTTCTTCTCACATGCTGTTGTTGTTGTTGTGGCTGTCTATACATTCAAACCTCATCTTGACGTCTGTCCACCACCTCCCCCCTCCTTCTCTACTCTTCGCAGAGGGAAACAAAACGGTCAACGTGGTCATAAGCTGACCCCACGTAGGGGAGAGTGGAGTCTGGTATGATAGTGTCAATGCAGGCAGGTGGTGGCATTACAATCTTCCGCTCTCTTGAGAAGATTGCGTGTTGCATGCTTTCTCCCTGTAGGAGCAAAGTGATCTCACGGTACGGTATCGTCAACATAGTTGGTGATGTGGGGAATGGTTGCATCATGTGGTTACACGAAAACTCAGGCCGTGCAATATCGTGCATGTCATTCTTACGTGGAGATATTACTGCTGGTGGTCCGCATTGAGACTCATCTCACCATTTTCGTAACCCCACCAATCACTGACATATTTGACGCAACACACACCGCCTCCCATCCCCCGCTTTCATGCGCCATCACCGCACAGCCTCTCTATCTTGTCTCTTCAACGCCACGATTTCACTCCCCACGGCGGCGAGACCCCCCTACCCCACTCACGCAACACTGACCAACTCCAGCACCCTCTCTACCTCCTTCCACCACACAGAACGCCACCACGGCAAGAAACTCAAAGAGAGAAGAAAATTGAGGCCTTGGGTTCTCACGCAACGGTAGAACCCGATCCACACTAAAACCTACTTCGTGGGTACTCCCGGTTGGTTGGTTCCCCTTCTGATCAAATGAGGAGGAGCGAGGCGCAAAAGTAAGAGTTTCCGTATACACGTAAGTGTGTGAAATGTTCTGCACCTCCAAACCCCATCGTGCGACGGGAAAGTCCGAATCACCCCGCCCAAGCTTGAGAGGCTCGACCGACCGCCTCACCTCTTTGCTCAAAACCTCGGCCTCCACCATCTCCTCCAGCTCGGCCTCGCTGATGTTCCACTCCTGCTCTCTGCCCAACAGCGGGCCCCTCTCAACAACGCCCACCCGGAAACCCCTGTACGTGCGGGTGTTTATTAGATTGGCATCGACCGCGATAACTGGCTGACCAACAAGGAGACATCAGTCTTGTAGCGGGACGAAAAAGACGAACACTGTCCAACCAAAGGGTAAGGGTTCTACCGACAGGGGTGTCTTGCATGTGTGTGGCAGGCGCGAACACACCATTTGCCAGAAAAAGTTGTGCGATTGTGCTTGGGTGTGCAGAACAAAGAAGGCGCGTCGTGCGACCAGCGCGGGTGTTGAGGGGTGGTTGCCTACACGGAGGCCAGAACAAGCAGTAATCTCAAGACGAAATAATGAAAAAAGAAAAAACAGCCAACCAACAACAACAACAACAACAACGATGATAAAAAGAAGATCAAGTGATGCTTGCTCGCCAAAGAGCGTAAGGAGATCCGTCCGAGGAGAGGTGGGACAAGAGAAGCGACTTCTTCTATTTTCTCGGGCCGGTCGACTGACCGGCAGGAAGCGGGTGCACTCAAGGGGCGGGCGGGCAGCTACGGAACGGGTTGGCTTCTCCAAGACGTCGACTGACTGGATGGTGAGCAGCGTATACAGACATCCAGACAGTGGCTTCGTGCTGACCAAGGACTTTGGAGCAGTGCGACACTCAAGCCACATGCAGGACACCGAGGTACGAGGCACGGTACCCAGTCGTCTACAATAATCGCCCGCCGACACAGCAGTCGGCCCCGTGTGACACAGAGCCAGCCATCACACCATTGGACCCTCTCTTACGATTGGCGAGGGTGAGGACTGCGTTCTCAGTCCTCCATGGGGGCAACCAACAGCCGCTGCTGTGTACAGTACAGGTCTCAGCCTGGGCTCCTTGACCTTGTGCACCGCGTCTTGGTGGGTGCTCGGAAGCCTGACCACCCAGCCCGCCTCGAATCTCGACCATCAAAATTTGCCAGGCTATGAAAGGGGGGGAAAGGGGGGCATGCGTTGTATGTATGATACCTCATCTGCAGAGCCGTCGCAACGAAGATGCCGAGGGTTCCGCCGCACACGACCACGTCGAACGCCGGAGGGTTTTCCGCACCGAGCGGCGTGTCGCTCTCTGTGACGTAGGTGGGGGCTGGTCCGGCATCGTCTCCCGTTTTCATGTTCCTTAGTGCTGTCCACCCCGCGTCCGCGCGGAGAAGCCCCTTTCCGGAAACACACACACAAGAACACAAGCACACGCACCACGCAAGCCCGAGAAACAAGCAGGAGAGAACCGTAATGCAAAGCTGTCCGCAACGGCGGGTGCATTCCACAACAATGCGCACCATTAGCACACGTTGCTGCGCTGAGCGAACCCACAAAAATATGTCGTCACGACAACCTCCTCTTCGCAACAGCTTAGGTGAACATGTACAGCGCGAAAACAGCAACGCCGGGCAAAAAAAACGTGTGATATTTTGCTGTCATTCGTATCTGCGTAGCAGAGAGAGAGGCCCGGGGCACCCGCACACGGGCGAAGTCGCTCACCTGGTATGTGGATGACCCCCCCGCCCCCATGGCCTGAATGCTGCTGGGCATCGCCTCCATGATGCGCTGGGTGCGACCTTTCTCCCTGACCCCCTCCCCTTCCTTCACCCCGGAGCCCCCCCCGCCGTCTCCGCCCAAGCCCGCCACGGACGACAACGCTACATCGGCATGGGCAGCGGCCGGTGGTCGCCGCGACCCGCGAGATGAGGTTCGAGCGCTGGTGGTGGCGCTGTCGTGACCTAGTCGACGGTGCTGCGCCGTGAAGGCTATCAGAACGGCCGATGAGCGTAAAACAATACAAGCATGCGGCGAAAAGGCGGGAGGACGTGGTACACAGTGGAGGCGAGATTGTTGGACGTCGTTCGAAAACCACGGTCTACACTACCATGGGACGGAATAGCTAAATAGCTCCCTGCTGCCATAAAGGACTAAACGCGTTTGTTGGTGCTGTTTTCACGCGCGGACCGTTAGTTCCATGCGGTGGGGCCAGAGGATCTGAAGTCGTTCTCACTTTGATCTTTGGCAAGAAGCTACAGCGGACGGGAGCGTTCCGGGAGAACCTCGTGCACTACAACATGTTCATCAACAGTTTCGTAAACGAGCGTGCCAGTGCCTCCTGTTCGCCCCCCCACCACCGGTAGGTGTAGACGGTGTAGTTTATCAAGGCGGCAAACCAGGCGAGAACCCGCCACAAAACGAGAGAGACTGCTCGAAAAAAGCAGGAGGCACCTGCGAGGGGCGTCCACGCGCCCCATCTCCTACCAGTATTCTAACAAATCTCAGCAAACCATTCCGAAACGGTTCGCCTTACATGAGTACCCAACAGGTCTGACGGTACATACTGCTGCTACAGAGAGAGAAGGGGTGCCCGCAGTTTTCTGATTGGCCAATTTTTTTGAAAGGAAATCTCCTGTGGACGAAAATTCCATGGTCGACCGATGACGTCAGCCACGGTCATGAGGTCACCTCTTGAAAAAAATAAAAAAAATCAGATTCACGAGGGGGGTGATTGGACTGATTGATGATAGCATCAAAATCAATCAGTCAACTCGCGGGAACCGCCGACCACACTTTCTTGTGTCCTGGAGGAACACATTTACTACTGGCCGCACCGATCCATGCTTGTCTGTTGATGGTCAACCGTTCATCCCCGACCCTCTTCTTGTGTTATTTTGGTTGGCACCCACACGACGACGACGGATCGGTGTCGCCAGCTCCACCACTGAGGAGGTTGATGCCGGGTGAAAAGCCAAGCGAGAAAGATTTGTTGGCACGTGTCAACAAGAAGATGGTACGGTCGACTTCGACTGCTACTCTGTGCCATCACAACCTTCCGTCACCACAAGCCGTATTTATTAGTGCAAATTAAGGAAACCGTAAAAAAATAAAGCAATACATGTGACAGCCCGAGGATGCAGCGTTGGTGTCGGGAGAACATTATTGAAAACACTGGTTTGTGCATTTGCTGTTCTTCTACAATAATGTAGCCTAGCTGTCCAACAGTTTAGCCGCCTGCGCGTGTGTATGACGCAGGTTCGAAAATGATGGTTGCTCAGAACAAAGTGGTGCGGTCAGTTTTTTATGTTTTGAAGGGAAACATGTCAACGGCACGGAGAGTCGGGCGGGCTTGGGTTCTGCAAGAACCGCAGCAAACCACACACGCAAGAACTGGAACACTCAAACACATATCCAGCAAGAACCGAACGCGATTTCTTCGGGCAGTGAGTGGACCACCGGCCGCCGGCCCCATGAACGAAGGTTTGATGGGGCGTAACAGTCCCGCGGCCGGCGGCTCGATCTTTGATTTTTCCAGCATGAATCATCCTCCTTTGCTTGCCCACCTCTGCTGCTCCGACCAACGGTGAAGGCCTGCGCAACGGCCACCATGATCCCGCATTGTAGAACCAGCCTGCTAGCGGCATCGACCTTCATCGTGTCTAAGTGGAAGCCGCAGCAGGCAGCCGCGGCAGCGTAAACAGGAGCGGGAGAGGGGAGAGGTCCGCGTGTGCAACGCGCTGGACAGGACAGCGGGGGGGGTCCCTTCAGCTGGAAACGTTTTCACTATGCCGGGTTTATTTTCAAATATTTCAACTTGATGGGGGGGGGGGGGCAAGTGAACACGTTGGTCACCAAAGTTCAGCAACCAACGTCCGCGCAGTTTGAACATTGGACGGAGAACGGTCGACAAAAGCTGCATCTATACTGCCGCTGCCGGAGACGCCAGACACAGCAGGGACGAACCACGCCGATCCCACGGCTCTCTGTTCCAGCGCCGACAGCATTGCGGTATCCAGCGGCAAGCGAGAGTAGCGCGCAGGAGCAGTTGGCGAGAACGGCACCGGCTGCGGGGCGTCGCCATGCGGTCTCACCGCCAAGCAGCGAAAGATGTAGCACCAGCAGCAGCGCCCAGCCTCAAGCACCTGACGCAGCTGGCGGTCGTGGGAATATGCGTGGGAACAGGTAAGGGGGGGGGGGGGCTGGCGAGTGGGTGATCACGCTTTTACTGTCCAGACCGCCTCCAAATCGATGGTAGTCACGCCGAATATCGCTGTACCGAACTTACGCATGATATGCTTGCGTGAACCTGAAAAATCCAAATCCAGTCAGTGGCGCCACACACGTCGTTTGCGACGTCGACCGTTTGGTATTGGTTCGCTACAATCCTCTCCAACTACCTGAGTCCTATACGGCGGCACGGAGTGATATTGAGCATTCCTGCGTTTGATAGCGCCTGTGACGAACCCGAAAGGGTAGTCATCGAGCGACTACACATACACGTAGACAGCAGTGCATCTCATGCCATGCGGTGTGTGGACGATCAAAACTGAGTGGACGATGAAGAGCCCTCGACGGCGCACAAGCCTCCCTAGATGCTTTGCCACACAAGGACGCCGCTACAGCAGAGTCAGCGCTAGCAAGTTAAACGTGTATACATGTTTGGCGCGCACGGCCAATCGAGTGTGCAGGAGGCTGGGCATCTGATGAAATCGGGATCATTTTGCCACACTGCGAAGAAGGGGGTTGGCACACGTTACTATCACATACACGTGTAGGCTAAGCGGCCGCCGCGCGTGGTGCATGGGAGCATTGCTGCCAGCTGTTGAAGCTGACGTCTTACATACGTGTGGCCACCTTTTCACGACACAACAGTAGTTATGGGGAAACAACACAGAGAGCCGAGAGTTAGAAAACGTAGGTACTTCGACCTTTGCTGCTGTAGATGCAGATGAGAGGATGAGAGGATACAATGTGTTGTACGACAGGCTGTACGGAACAGTACTTAGACGAGACCACTGCTGTAGACGATGTAGCCCAGCCAAATGTAGTTTACCACCTACTCGTGGAACTACTACGTTGTCTAGCTTGTTCCAGCACTATTGGACCCCATCCTGTACGTTTTTCCAGTACAGTTGACTTGAAAAATTCAAAAATTCGTGCAATGTCCAATTGTTGTCGCCTCCACACACCCATCTCCGTATAGTTCTAAATTCCCAGTAAGACACATACGACCTGCAAGAACACTTAGTGGCTCATTGGGTGGATGAGGGGACGGCCGGGTGTCGTGTATTATGCGTCAGGTGACTGGCATACAGTAACAGGGGCCAGTGACAAGCTTTGGGTCCAGAAATCGTCTCTTGCACATGAAACGGTTGCCGTTTCCCCCTATATTCAGCTTCTACTACCACGTCCCATGTTTTTCTACCTCAGTTGTAAATCGGTTGTGTACAAGTACGCGGCACATACGCTTTATGTGTGCGGCCGATTCCAGAGTCCAACCAGCCAGCAAACAGACATCACGGCAAAGCCTATTCCACATTTTTCGGTCACTAGCTTCGTGCGTTCGAAATTCGGACCGTGCACCGTTGTTAAAACGCCACCCCCCGCTCCCACGGCCGCGGCCTGTGCCCACCCGTCTTTTGGCCGTGTTTCCGCCCATCAGCCGCGGCAGGGTCCACGACTTCCTCCGCCTCGGTACCGCGGCGGTCGTCGGCAATGGATGCCAGGAGCCCGCTCGCCTTTGCGCTACCTCCGTCGTTGCGGCCGTCACTTCGCTTCGCCGACGATACCCGGGACGTGCGCGGAGGGCGCCGACAGGCCGGCGGGAGGAGGGCGGTGGCGGCTTCGGCGGCGTCTCTAGGGGGGGCGACGTCGATGTTTTCGTGGCGGCGGGGAGGGGGGGGAGGGGGTGAGTCTCGGGGGATGGGGGGCAGGAGGAGTAGCAGAATAGAGGCTTACCCCGCCTTTGGAACGGGTACGGCCGCGGGACCGCGGTTGAGGGCGGTGGGATCACCACTGAAAAAGGCGTTTTCGTGGGGGCGGGGGCTCCAGAGCAGGGGAGAGGGGGTGGGGGGGGTCAGGGTCGATTCCATTTCTTCCGCAGCGGCGGTGGCGGCGGCGGCGGCGGCCACGGCCACAGGCGGGAGTGACAAGGTCGGGGGCGCAGTGGGTGGCGCGATGGAGGCGGAGGGCCCCGCGAGTTTTAAGCTCGGCGCGGACCTCATGACGGACCTGAAGCGTAGGTGAGAGGGGGAAGCGGAGGGATACCTACCCACTTTTCGGTGGCCAGCTTGACCCCGCGATGAGGGTGTTTTGTTAGAGGGACGGGAAGGAGGCCAGAACGTTCTCTGGCCGCGCGGTGAAGCGATTTCGTGGTTTCGATTTGTGAGCAATGGATCCTTGGCCGGCTTGCGTAGAGGGTTGAAGGGCTTCATTGCTCTTCCGCCTTTACTCTGTTAGCCCGCTTGACTTACAGGGAGAGGGTTACACTGGCTTTTCGTTCATCAATCTTCAGTCTCAAGAAACGACTACCCCGTCAATTTTGTCTCTTTTTAATGTAACAGCGAGGAGGTTCCGTTTTTTTTTGCTAGTGGCCCTCCAAGTTCGACTCTCATCTCTCTCGCGCGCAGGCAAAACGCACACCCAACTTGTAGCCTAATTTTGTGCAGATGCGCCTATAAGTTCCACCCCAAATCCCGACACGCTTAACCAAAACTATCGCGAGCTATCGCAGCTGCACGCGCGCATTCCACTGAACCAACCGTGCTTGCTCGATGCCGATCTCGTACTGTGCACCACTGTAGGGCGAAGTTTTACAAGTCCGATTGGTCGGACGGAGTCAACCGCAAGTCCTTGCCGGCAATCATGTTTCTCTACTTCGCTTGCCTCCTCCCGGCGGTGGCGTTCGGGGGAATCGCCACCCAGGTTTGTTGCTGCCGGTACCGCTGGGGGTGGTGGCGTCGTTGATGCTTCTCCTACTGGTGTTGCTGTTGATGTTGTTTCTGCTGTGTCGGCGACGACGGATGTTGTTTGTTTGGCGATTGACAGACGTTGTCCCTTTTTTTTGGTCGCGGTTGTCGCGTCTTTTTTTCGTCTGGCCATCGCTACCCACAGCAGTGCCTGCTGCGCACCCGCACGGGCCTCCTCGCGGGTCAGACATTCCAAGGCGGCGCCCCCGTTTACCGCTTGCTTGAGAGAAATTTCTTGTTTCGGTTGTTTCTGTAAGCCAAGCCCAAGACCCCGATGCCAAGGGGGTCTAGGAGCGGTACCATTTCAGAAAGCATGCGACGTTCACCTTGTTGTTGTTGTTGTCATGGTTGTTGCCTCTGCTTGTAACCGAAGTAGACGGGATTGGAAAGCGCCCTCCACCCCCCCTTGATCAACACGAGTACCCCCCTTTTGAGGTGCTCGAGGTATAGTCGTGCCTGTCGAATGTGAAACGTTGGTTGGCCGGGATGCCCCCTCAACCTATGGCGTATTGGTTTGGCACAGCGATTGCAAGGATGATGGACAGCTTCTGTGTATCCTTTTAATACGTAACCTGGGCAGGCGAAAACCCGGCGTATCGCTCCGTCCCGGTATTGTAGGGATGCGAGGTCAATGGTCTAACTACGATTACGGCATGCGTTTACATGGCTTCACCCCAATTTCCCCAGGTAACCCAGGGCACGCTAGGCGTGATCGAGTACGTGGTGTCGTGCGGCCTGGGGGGGATGACGTACGCGGCTTTCGGCGGCCAGCCAATGACGTTCATCGGCCCGACGGGGCTCACGCTGGCGTTTATGACGTCACTCTACAGGTGGCTGTTGTTTGTTAACGCCGGTGCATTCATGATAGATTGGTGGTTGATTCGTTTGTGGTTTTGGTCGGTCTTTTCGCCAGCAACGCTCATCCGCGTGTGCGACATCGTGGCTCACATACCTACTCTCCGTTTTTGGAGCGCACCCGGATGTGGCCCAGATCCTCCAACAAGCGAGCGAGCGTTGTTGAGAAAGTGTTCCTCCGCCTTTGTAGATCACACTACAGGTATTGACTGGACTATGCATGCACCTCCGCCACGTGACATCCGCTCCTCCTCGAAGTCTACATCGTACAAGTACAGCACAAACAATCCTCTTCCCACGCACCCGTGGACAAATCACGTGGATGCGTGTCACCCCCCCAAGATCTGTGTGTACGTACGACCCCCAGTGATGCAGACAGGATAGGGAACACGTTTAATGAGCCCCCTTTGGCAAAGTAGAAGGGAACGATCGACCGGTCCTGTGGGAGCAAGGCCCAGTCCTTTGGGGGACGCGTGGTCAATGGTTTAACAGCTAGAGTTGCGCCCCCCCCCCCCGCCAAAAAACAAAAAGAGGGGTAGACAACCCACGGAATGGGTCAAGGTTGTAGAGGACGTATGGAAGGGGTTCGAAATCGACGAAGATGAAACGCTGGAGACGGAGGGTCTACAGGGGTTCAAGGAGAAGATATCTGTTGCTTGTGCCGAGAGAGAAGAACATAGTCTAAGGAAAGAAACCTAGGATAAGGAGGGTCTAGAAGTGTACGGAATGTTGAAAGAAGGAATAGGGTTCAAGGATTACCTACATGTACCAATGGATGCAGGGACAAAGCTTAGGGTCAAATTCAGGACCGGGGACATGGGCCTTCGAGAACGTCGACGAAGACATAGGACGGTAGACGACGAAGACGACAAGTTTAAATGTGATTGCGGCTTCGAATGCAAAGACCGTGTTCATGTAGTCGCGGAATGTCAGTTGTACGAAGAGGAGAGGGAAGTGTACATGGCTGAGCTGGGAAAATACAAGGGAGGTACAGGGAGATGTTTGAGGCATGGAATAGAGACGAGAGGACGATAGCTGTACTGGAGAGTAGGAAGTAGTTTGAAAAGGCGGGAAGGGATATCGTTAGGATAGACAGACTAGGGAAGACATGTTTGAGCCACCTTTGGCAAAGTAGGAAGGAACGATTGCCCATCGGTGATCGGTCCTGTGGGAACAATGCTCCGCCCTCTGGAGGACGCGTGGTCAATGGTCTAACCGCTAAGGCATGCGAAACATAAGAGTATCCCCCCCCTCCCCCGTCACCAGCTTCACGTCCGTGGCGGGGCTCCCGTTCTTGCCAGTGTATGCGTGGGTGGGGCTGTGGACGTCGGCGTTCTTGGCAACGCTGGCCTTCGTGGGGGCTTCGAACCTGATCGAGTTCGCGACGCAGTTCACGGACGACGTGTTCAACGCGCTTCTCTCGGTCAACTTCATCTACGAGGTGACGATGCCGAAGGGATACTTCTGCTTTAGACCGAGAGAGAGAATAAACACATGTATCAGGGTACTCTCTGCGTCAACTTCATCGACGAGGTGATGATCCGGAGGGCTACAGATGTAGTGAGAGAGAGTGGGAGAGAGCAAACATATGTACCAACATGTTTTGGGGGGGCGGGGGCGGGTAGGGTTGGTGGCTATTGTTTCGGCGCTTTATGTTCGTACACAATTGCACCACGATGTTCATGTGTGGGGTTTAAATGATAGGAAAACGTTGTTTCAGTGCTTTTTCTTCGCAAGCATGAGTCCGGAATGTATTTTGGGGGGAGAGGTTATTCCGGCGACCCTGTTTTAGTGGTTTGTCTTGAGAGAAGTGACACCAGGCATGTCCCAAGCACGTGACCGCAGACAGTGGTGTTGGAATGATGAACCAACATTTGTATTCCTAAATAACGGTATGTGCGGCACAAGGGCGTCTTCATTGCAGTTCTTCCCGCCAATTACAACCGTATTTTGCATGGAGGTATTGTAATGAGAGGCGAAACATGAAAACCTGCACAAGTGACGGCGATCAAAATCAATATAGAAGGATAAATTATTGGTCTTGAGTATAACCAATTCAAAGAGGGCGGTTGCAATATTTCGAAGCGATTGGAATGTCGTCGTGCGGACCGGAGCGGAGTGTGGGCGATCACATGGGAGAAGCAAGCAACGAAAGCGCGAAACAAGAGTTCGACAACCCTCTCGCTCGAAAACGAAGCTATCACACACTTTACATAGGCGAATGGCGTTGACAGGTTGGCGGCTACATTAATCCTTAACCGTGCTGTGTGTCGATTGACGGACATGTGATCGGATTGAGCTTCTGCGGGCTCCAGCGCTGTAACTCGTGTTTTTTTTATTTATTGCTATTTTCGTTGTGGTGTACCAAGCATCGTTTCCAAGTTTTGACTGCATGATCACGACACTTTTCCCCACTGGCAAGAAACCGTCGATTATTATCAACGATTTCAGAGAGCTGATGATGCGCCCGCTCTTGCCCGCAGGCCGCGCGGTCTCTGATGCGGAACTTCAGCCCCGCTGCGGCCGGATACACCCAGGCCGGCGCGCTGATGAGCCTGAACGTTGCGGTGGCGACGTACGTGGGATGCCGCAAGACATCGGGGGCCCTAAGCTCGACATTTTTCAACGGCGGGGTGAGAGCAGGATGATAAATAAGAATCGCGTTGTCGTTTGCGAATTGGGAGGTGGTTCGGAAGAAATAGGCCGACCAAGGGTGTTGTGATCGATAAAGCATAGGGGTTGAAGGGTGTAGATGGATGGGGGATGGGTGTCGTGGTTTGTGATGGCTGCGGTGTTGTTTATTCACTGACTGCTGCTGTAGTGGAGGTGCATGGCTGTGTTTGTACACGCGCCGTGACGACCGCGCCCAAAGCCTTGATCAACCTCACGTACGACGTTCTCAAACTCATCGCACCCTCTTCCATGCCCAAGGGGAAAACCGAGCATGCGTCGCCAACGGCCGGCCACTGCTGCTGCAGCCTCAGCCTCAAAATAGGTCTCGAATCAGCACAACAAATGTCGGGGGCACCACACAAGTACCTATAGGCCTGTTGTTGTTGTTGTTGTTGTTGTTGTTGTTGTTGTCTTCACATTAAAAAAAGAATCGACGCTACGGGAGATCAGGATACAGGCCATTGATGGGCACTTTTCGCGAGCTCTCCGTGTCCACCAGCTTACACGCCGTGAATGTGTTTCTTTTGAGGGTATGAGGAAATATCGCCAACTCATCCCCCGCCGCCGCCCCCGCCCTCGCCTTCACTGCTGATTATTCGGGGTGTTGCCCGAAATGCTGTATTTTTGTTTTCCTTGCTGTGCCTACGCTAGATTCGCGAGTTCATGTCAGACTTCGGACCTTTGGTGGTGATCGTGGGCATGTCGTGCTTCTGCGCCCTCCCGTCATGGAATGGTCTGCTGAGCTTCCTCGAGGTGGGTGGATTCTTCCGTAGGTTGTCCCGCAGATATCCCACGGGTTGTTCCTCGGAGTGCTGTTGTTCCGCGGTCTGTTCCGCGGGTTGTTCCGCAATAGTAGGCGCCTTGGGTAGAACCAGCCGCCCACGGGGCGACCCACTCGTCCGTGTCTGCGTGTGGGTGTGGTTCCTTGGTGTTGTCTTGTCACGGATACGCTTGGGCCGCCTTGTGAGGGAGGGGGTGGCAGAGCAGATGAGAAAATCATACGTACCCGAACTTGACCAAACGGTTTGTTGAACTTGTTCACGCTTACGTTGTGTGGTTTTGTCCCTGCGTAGTCCAGTTGAAGTATGCGGGATGTAAATGTGTAACCGGTCTCTCATGTTGTAACGGTTTCTTGTTGGAGAGCGAGTACGCAGCCGCACCGTTTTGCGACGAGGACGACGACCATGACGATCGGGTTTCCTCACGTGCTTGATGCATGCTGCATCGCCTTTGCCCTCACTCTTATCTTGCAAAAGGTGCCGAACGCCTTCATGCTGTCTAAGGGCCGTTCCTGGGTAGTTCCCATGTTCTCCGTCACGCCGGTGGTGAGGCTGGCCTGCGCTGTCCCAGCCATGTTGCTCACGGTAAGAGGCCGAATGCCGCGTGTATCATGCCACCCTCCCCCACCCCCCTCCCGCCATGCCCGGTAACGACTTTTCACAATGGATTCCTCCAAAATGGTGAATGATGGAACTGAAGATCTGGCGGTTCGCCGAGCACAATGCCAACGGTTTGCTTTTAAGAGGTTAGACCGCCGTTTTAGCCTCAGCACCCTTTGGGTCACGAAGAAATTTAGCACACCCCGCCGCCCGTACCCGCCCGGATCGCCACCGCTCATGATATTCCTCCGCTCTCGCCTCCCCTATTACTGGTACGCCTCTTGTCAATCTTGTGGCTACCGTTGCCACCCGCTCATGATTTTCCTCCGCTCTCGTCGTCCCTGCGACTGGTACCCTATGTGCGCCCCCCCCAGTCTCTCTTTTTCTTAGACCAAAACATATCGGCTAGGGTGGTGAACTCCCCGCGGCACAAGATGACAAAGGGCGCGGCCTACCACCAGGACATGCTGGTGCTCGGGATTATCACCGGCCTCTTGTCGGTGGTTGGGCTGCCGTGGCAGTGCGCCGCTACCGTGCAGGTTCGTGGGAATTACTTTTCACGCGTACGCGCGACGACGTGCCGTACACGTGCTGGCGGCCGGGTTTTGTTGTGTACTGTTGCATCGTAAGGCTTTCGGCATATGGCATCGCGGGGTATTCCGTCTTGCAGGCCGGAATTTTGGAGCTGACATGGGATTATTTTTTGTTTGGTTCGCCGAGAAGATAAAACGGAATGCGGAAGAGATTATTTTGTTGTGTTTTTATCAGAAACAAGGAAGAGAATCGTGGGTTCCCGCCAATGCCGTTGTCAAACAAAAACAAAAACAACCATGCATCTGCCGAAGCGTGCCTCAGAGCCTGGAAGCAGTATCTGGAGGAGTTCTTTTCGCGCCAACGGCGCGTGATGAATGGTATCGCATGAGTGGGGGAGGACGGGGGCGAGTAACCGCAGGAGGGGTCGCCGAGACCCCACAGCCCGGCATGTCCCACGCCCAAAACCAAATGTTCACCCGGCGCAAGGCCGCCCTCGAACAGCAGCAGATGGCGAACCCTGGTGTAGCGACGGGGGAGGAACTGTGTCAGAAATGTCGAGCCAACAATCGTGATCTTTACCAATCGCACCTGACGTGTGCATTTAGTATTTGCCGTAAATGTAGGGAGGGCGGCCACCGGATAGTGGCGTGCCCAAACCCGTGGGCGCCGTAAGCATAGAAGAACATAGTAACCATGCTCGTCTATGCGTACGGCGCCCACGGGTTCGGGCACGCCACTATCCGGTTGCCGCCCTCCCTACGTTCACGGAAATCCTGAATGCGCCCGTGAGGCGCGATTGGTAAAGATCACAATTGTTGGCTTGGCATTTATTACACAGCTCCTCACCGTCGCTGCACCAGCGTTCGCCATCTGCTGCTGCTAAAAAAACACAAATTCGATTGTTGCGCCGGGCGTCCTCAACATCTAGACCCTTTTCGCCTCGAGAGACGTCGAAGATTCTCACCGCCTCGCCATATCTTCGGCTCATACCGCTCTCTGAATTTTGTAGTTGTGATTCTTCGAAGTGCATGCTTGAAGTAGATTTGATGTATAAGATGTCATCAACATATACCTTGGGCAACATGTTTTCGGGCGATTTTTCAACACCTCGATGCTGGAAGCAATTGCATTCAAATAATTCGTAGGATATAAGTAGTAGGATCGCTTAATACCAACACAACTTGCTTCCTCTCTACGAATCGCTCAACACCGCCAAACAACTTTCTTCCTCTCTCTATTGGTGTGAATCGCTCAACACCAAGAACAAACTTTGTTCCTCTCTTCATGAATCGCCCAGCGCACCGCCAAACAACTTGCTTCCTTCCTCTGTCAATCGCTCAACGTGAAGCATTCTCTCTCTGTGTGAATCACCTAACATCGCAAACAGCTCTCCTGAAGAATCTCAACATCGCCAAACAACGTGTCATCCCCCCCGGTACAGAGCCTTAACCATGTCCGGCAGATGGCTACCTTCGAGCCGGCCACGTCGGCGGCAGGGGGTCGCTCCGAGACCATCGAATCCATGCACGAGACGAGGCTGACAGGGTTCTGCGTCCACGCCCTCGTGCTGGGCAGCCTGGCGCTGCTGCCGCAGCTTGGGAAGATCCCGATGGCTGTGGTTTCTGGGATTTTCCTGTACCTCGGCCGGAAGGTAGCTGGACGTCGCCGTCGTTGTCGTTGTCGTTGTTGTTGTTGTTGTTGTTGGCGGTGGTGTATCGACGTCGCTAACCGGCTGACCAATGAAACATAAGGTTCATTTCTTACAGATGGATACGAAGATATAACATCTATTGAAAGAAGGCGCTTGCGTTTCATAAAAGACGTTTAATACAGGTATGGACTTGAAAATACACGGATGCCTCCCGAGACCTTTGCGTAACTTTACCCCCCCCCCCCCCCCCCCCCCTCTGCCTGCCGCGCTCCATGCGTTCAGGCCAGTGGCACGTGGAGGTGTACTAGGCTGCTTCCAGTACGACAAGAGGAAAGGAGAGCAAACAGCAGCATTCGTGGCTAGGATAGAGAGCTCTGTCTCGGCTGCGATTTCGCGGTGCCCCCAGCAGTCGATCATTTTTTTTCCAGTTTTTCTGTTGGACGTCTCCCTGCTCCTCTTGGCCGCATCAGTTTTGGAAGGCCCCTGTAGTGTGGCTTCGGACTGGGTTTTCCGCTAGATGGCGGGAGAGCACGCGTGGTAGTAGCATGCTCTCTTTAGCTTTTTTAAGTCAGGGCCCTCGTCCATCGAGCGACCTGAGTCTTTCCTGCCTTGTGTTCCTGATGTCCTGTCTTTTTTCTCCCTCGAATCGTTGTAAAGCTGACGAGTCGGGGGCGTTGAGGAAGAGAGGGGAGGGGGCAGGGTAATTATCCTAGCGTCCGTCTTCCGCTAATCTTTGCATTGGGTTGCGGGGGCGCTTCATCTCGTTTGTCATCTTGTCATCTATCTGGCTGGTGAGATGTAGAGAGTTTGCAGGGGATCCGATAGGAAGAGAAGGGAAAGGGAAGGAGACTTTTTGTGTGTTAACTTTAGAGAAGCTGTTTTGCGTATAGAAATTGCTTCGGCGCTCTTTTTTGTCCCTATCTCTCAAAAGTAGGGCGGCGGGGAGGGGGTTGACTAGAGAAGCTTCTTAGAGAACGGCTAAGCACGCAACATCCCTTCACTGTGGAGAAGCTCGCTGGCCACTTTTCCATTTATCTCTTGTCCTTGTTTTAGAAAGACTTTTTGTGTGTTTCTTGTTGGCGCGTCCAAAGCATTAACAAGGCGCGCGGAGAAGAAAGCAGGCATGGGAGAGCGAACGCCGCGCGTGGCCATGTGTTTGCGTGCGTGCGTGATTTTGATTACCACCAACAACCGCTTTCCTTATCGCTTGCGCGCGACCAGCCGTGTTTTTTTTATTAGAAAGTTAACATAATCTCACAGAAAGACTGCAACCCGTTCGAGATATGTAACCACAGTCGAAAGGGATGTGCTCAAGTCTTTTGAGTGAGTGGAGGGGAAACCGGCTGGAAACTGGGCTTACTTGTAGTTTGTTGAAGCCTGAACACTGAACTGTATCAGTGAGCCGTTTGCCCCACGACGATGGGTGACTGACGACTCTCTTGCCATCCTTCTGCGTTTTGAATTTGAGGCTTCTTTGATGGGCCAAACGGTTCATTTTTTTAGAAGGGTGACGCAGAGGAAAGCGGTTCTCAAAAATCTTCGCCATCACAACGATTGGGAGTCTCGAGATGATCATGTTTTTCAATATTACGTGCCTCACTCTTGTTTATTTGGCAAGGGGGGATACTCGTCTCTCTTTTGCATACGGTTTCTGTTTTGCCGACCACTTACTACTACAGTAGATACCGACTGGTCCTCCCCTCTTAAATATGCCTCCGCAGCAGCTGATGATGCTCGCTGTGTCGGCCGTCGAGAATGAGGGGCATGCCACCAACACCAATCTCTCATCAATTCACGGGAGAAACCCTAAACCTAAGCCTACCTGTTCTTCTTTACTACGCTGACAGGCAACAAACAAACGCCCACATACCAACAAGCTCATTTGACCCACCGGTGGACTCCATCCCCGTCACATGTTTCCTTAACGGAGAAGAGCAATGCGCTGAACTTTTGCTTTCGAAGGCAGGCGCGTTTGTTTCCGTGATCAGGCTTGTTGAAGCGTTACAACCGTGTGAATCTGGTGCACACTTCATTATCCTCGGGTTTCTCACACACAAGCAAAGCAGTGTTACCATGATACATCAAATCGAGAGCTTTTTAGCATCGTCTAGTGTCTAGTTTTCCTTCACTTGATGGCGCGGGACTTGATCCATCCATCATGACTCAGTGCTACACAGCCACCGCCGTTTTTCAGGTGAGGGCACACACACACGCGCGCGGGGGGGGGTGTATTCATGTAGCAGCCTTGGCGGCTATTTTAGCCCGTTCACCACGCGTCCTCGAGAGGACGGGGAGCAGGGGGGCGAGGGCGTCTAATAATGATTTCGTTCTCAGGGGACCCCCCCTTGTCGCTCGAGTGCAAAAAAAAAACGAGATCAAAAGTATTTGTTTTGGTTGAGGTGAATAACTCGTGAGCCAGATGTAATTATGAAGTAACACGTTGTACGTCCGAGTGCTACCAACTAACACAGCTGCATCTACAACTAACTCCGACCGACAGCAGCATCATCAAAAACAAACGTGATACGCCCCCCCCCCCCCCCCCCCCCCCAAAAAAAAAGCCTGGCTGGCCCTAAAAAAACTGGGGGGGCCCCGCCCCCCCCCCCCCCCACGAAATTTCCGCCGGACCCCAACCGCCCCCCTCCTTTCCTTTGGGGGCCCCCCTTAATACCGGGGAAAAGGGCCCCCCGAAAATGTTTTTTTTTTGAAAAAAAAAACCCCCCCCGGGAAAGAGAACCCCAAAAAAAACCCCCCAAACCCCCCCCCCCCCCCCCAAAAAAAAGGGGGGGGGGGGGGAAAATTTCCGCCCTTCCCCTTAAAAAAGAACCCCCCCCAAGCCAAGGGGAAAACCCCCGCGGGGGCACATCGTGGAAAGGAGGCCAAAGAAAAAAAGGTTTTTTTTTTTTAAGTGTCTCGAAAAAACCCCCCCCCCACATCCCCTTTTGTTTGGAAAAAAAACCTTGGGGGGGGCGGGGGGGGGGGGGTTTTTTA